CAGGCTGGACAGGGCTTGGAGCAACCTGCTCTAGTGGAAGGTGTCCCTGACCATGGCAGGGGATTGGAATGAGAAGATCTTTAAGGTCCCTTCCAACCCAAACCATTTTGTGATTCTGTGATCCCTATTATTAAGGGCATCAAGACTGGGTGGGAAACTGAGGCCAAAGCTAGTTCTTACTTTGATCTCTCGGTGACATGACCCATCAGAGAATCAGAAACCCTACAAGTAACACTAAAAAAAAAAAAAAAAAAAAAAAAGAAATTGAAATGAGAGATTTGAACCTAGAAGTGAAAGTGTTAGGGAAACCTCACAGGTGGTAAGCAGAGACCCTAGACAACTATGACCTCCACAAATATTACACTTATTAATGTGTAATATTTTGAGCAACCTCGTCTAGTGGAGAGTGTCCCTGCTCATGGCAAGGGTGTTAGAATGAGATGGTCTTTAAAGGGTCCTTCCAACCCAAGCCATTCTATGATAATATTCATGCACATCAACAGGTATTTGGGAAGAATAGCTAGGGACCATCAGAAGCCTTCCCCCTCCTGTAATTGTGTATCTTTCACATAAATGGAATTGGTGCAGGGCATATTCCAGCCACAGGATAACCTGAGTGCTGTGAATAAACTGCATCAAGTTGCCCTGACCTCCCCCCTGCCGTCACTCCATTGCAATAAAAAAGCAGCCAAAATCCAGCACACACGGAAGCAGATGATAGTTGATGGACTTGTTTCATGTGAAGAAAATAACTTATGATGTATCTAATTAATCTTGTATAAACGGACAGTTTCTGGAAAAATCAATCCTCAGCTTCAAAGATTTAAGTGGATCTCCAAGAAAAAGAAATGGTTGTTTCCCCTAAACCCCCAGATCAACCTCTTAATCCTGGAATTACAGATTTTCTCACGATACAAGCAGTATTTTCTGCATAATGTATGTCTCTCTTCATGTAACAAAATCTTATCTGGTTTGATACAAAATTTTCATTCTGACTTCCAAATTAATTACAGAAATCTTTTAACATAAACCTGACTGTTTACTCAATCTTCTTTTATGGTCCATAAGTATGCATGAAGCAAGAACACAAAAATATATTTTAAATGAAGCAATTAGTTGGGGTTTTTTTTGGTTAAAAATTAGGGATAAGCAGAAAAGCTGTCTTGTAGGAGCTCTGCTTCTTTAAATAAAAAAAAACCCCAAAACTTAATTTATACTGTAAGTTTCCTTCCTTATAAAAGGAGAAAGTGTCCTCCATATGTCAAGCAAAAATCTTCCTAGGAGTCAAGTACAAAAGCTTTTTCTTCAAAGAGAAAAGATGAGATGTACTTTAAAGAGATAATTCCAGAGAAGGAAGAAAAAGAGTTCAAGCCTAGGGTGAATACAGCTTGGATGTATGAGGCAATTTCTTCTGGTGGCTCAAGAAGAATGGAAACTTTCCTCCTGAGAATTTGCTGCCAAGGGGACTGAGTGCATCTGTTTCCACCTAATGTGAGAAACGAGGATCTTCAGCCACAGCTGGGAGAGCAAAAAACTTTTTTTTAAGACACATAAAGTAAGGAGAGGAAGTTGTCTTCTGAAGAAGAGATTGTTACTAGTCTATTTACCACAGTCTTATCCTTCCAGAAATAAAAAAGACCTTTCTAATAGAAACTAGCAAAGAAAACTAAGATGAGTTAAGGCTCCATGCATGCCCAAGTACAGGCATGAACTCCTCTCTCTCTTGATGAGTAGCTGTAGGTGAAATGAGAACTTTGGCAACACTGAATTGCATGTTTTTTCTTTTCCTTCACTTTTTTTTACATTTAAGTGTTTTGACACCAGACCAAAAGGGACTGCCAGCTTTCGAAGGTTTGACTTAGACCTGTGTATGTAAAAGGAACAGAAGACACTGTAGCCTGGTTTAGCATAAGCCATGACAGCTTTAAAGAAAGTAGCTACAGCATCACTGCCATCACCTGCAGACTCTCTCCTTTTCGCATCACTAAAAACAGAGTCATGGCTAAATACAGCTTAATGGGAATGCAGCTAAAGGGCTTTCCTTGAGCTCGCAGAGATTCAGCCATCTAGCAGGCATGTCTATGTCCAACAGGTAAAATCAGCCCACTGGAACGCTAAAGTTGCTCTTACCCTTCAGCCCAGCAGAGGATTTATACCCCTGGCTATCTTCAAAACGACTCATTAACCACTTCTTTCTGTATAATTATTGCAGTGGCAGCAAATGGGGCTCCTGAATGCCAAAGCTAACTGGAAAATGAAACCCAGGAAATTGCTGGAGTGTGAGATTTCCCATCCAAAAGCTGACATTAAATTTCCCAACCAGCCAGCAAGTCAATAATGGAAATGAATGAGGAAACAAAGATTTTCTGTGGATTTTTTTTCAACAGTTAATTTTCAAGCTACACAGATATAGTGCCTTTTCAAATTTTAAAGTAGAGGCTGAAGACCTAGATTAGCCATTAGGGACTGCTTTTTATCGAAAACTAATGTGGAATATTACTTTAATATTGTTTTCTCTCTTTAGTTTTACAAGCCAAGATGCTTCCAAAATGATTTTTACCCATACAGTTTTTAAGAAATATAAACATCTTAATTGTTTCCTTAAATATATTTGAAGGTTTCATCAAAATATTAAAAACATTCTTCTTTGCTCTAATAATACTTTTTATCTCAAAAGGGAATACTGCCTGGTTTCCACAGGTTTGTATTTGACAGTTACCTAAAAGTGTAAGGAAACTGTCTTTCTCCATATAATTTTTATAAATGTGTGTTTATTATTACAAGAAAAACAAAACAAAATCTATTTTGATAGAAAACGTTGTCTAAGTACTTGTGATCCTTATGGCTCATTTTGTGGTCTCTGAGTAAGAAAACACACCAATCCCAAATATTCCTGCTCAGTACTACTTAGAGTTTTTGAATCAGCAAACATGACATGATCAGTTAAGTCAATTTTCGAGAAACAAGTAAAAAAAAAATTCAACTAAAAAAAGGACAAAATTATCTTAAACTACATGAAACATTCCAATTTCCAAAACTTTGATTTTTTATGAGCTTTTCTGTGGGGTACAAAGGTTTTTCTCCTACCTTTTTCATAGCTAGATCCCATCTTCACTGGCACATTAAGCTTACTGCAGTAGTACTCTCTGCCTGCAAATATTTGATCATCAGCAGATGAAAATACCCAGTGAAATATCAGCCTGCATAGGAAGGGAAACCCACCTAGGATTTAATTACCACTGGAACCTGAAGACAGTCATGTTCCAGAAAGATATCATCTGTATTTGAAGTATATTAAGAAGCAGTGTATGATGTAAAAAACGTCAATAATGTCATAGACAGAAAATCTGAGAACACACATTAATAGCTAAACAAAATATGATACAAGGAAAAAGACCTATTCCAGAAGGAAGTTTTAATGAAATTCCAGAAAAAAAAATCAAAATTTTGAAACAATCTTTCTCAACCCTTACTCTTCAGATCATGTAGCATCCCAGTCTTGAGACTCTTTCCTGCCTTTTCTGCAAACATCAGTTTCATTGCCATGCCTGAAATTAATAATTAACAAGAATCTAATACATGGATGCTGGGATAAGAGAGAATTGCTTTAATGGCATCCAAAAGAAGAGACCTAAATGTTTGCTCTTGGGGTTTTTATTGAACAGTGACACAGGGCTGACCTACAAAATACCTTCCTAATTCAGTCACTGTTCATAAGGATTTACAAATTTGGCATTGGTATGTTACAGCTCATTAAGCACATCACAAAGCTAAGTGCACACACCAGGCAAGGAAATCCCCTTAAAGGCAGTCACCCGCTCCACCAATCCCATCATTAATAAACAGAAATTGTTACCACTTGGGTCTCTAAATTAATATACCTCCTGATATTCATCTGACAGAGAGAGGGTTCCTTTTGGGAAGACAACCCCACCACTTGTATAGTCACAAGACAGTCAGGTTTCTCTTTGAAGGACTCAGGAGACTAAACGGCTAACTTCAAGCTCTAGCTATTTATTTAATTACATATGCGACATGTAAGCATATTTGTTTACATGACACTACACTTGCATTAGAAAAGTTTCTAAATGTATATTGCAAAGACTTTCTATCTTTGGAGCACTTAAAACAGATTTTGAACAGTTTTCCTCCATCTGAAGTGTACACAAAACCACAGTTGTTTGAGGCATTTGGTTCTTCTCACTTTCAACATCTGAGTCCAGTCACATCATTTACAGTCAGATGCAAAGTTTACCATAAAACCTACAGCAATAAACTACCTGATCACAAACAGGAGCCGCGCTGTATCTGACTAGCCCACTCATTGACACTGGAATTGTACAAGTTAGACTGGAGTTTGTTGTTTGGTTTTTTTTAATTCCATTTTGTGCATTTATTGAAGTATGGCATTTACAATTGTTTCCTCTTTTTCCGCAAGCTCTGGTGACCAACCACATTGCAATCACAATACTTCATAATTTTCACTGCCCAACATTTCACCTGCAGCTTCTAAAACTTCGTATCATAGGAACATAAAGAGATTAAAAAAAACACAACAAAAGCACCACAAAAGCAAGCAACATCTTTCAGCAGCAATTAAAGTAAAATAGCAAAACACATCTGTTCTTGCTCCCACGTCAGTTTCAAGGCCAAACTCAGCCAAAACTAAAAGAGATTAAGAGCTGTGCCATGTATTAGACCTTCACCCTATGCAAGATGCAGACAAATCTTCCTCTGATATCTAAGCTGGCTCAGTTGTACCTGAGCTTCGCCTTTCTTACTGAAGTACTGCAATTTTGTTTAAAGGTACTCCCATACATCAGCAGCCCCACCTGTCTTCATTAGCAATAGCCACAAGTCTTCTAACCATAACTACTTCCATGCTTCCAAAAACTGCAGAATCTGCACTTTAAATAGCTGGTTGCTTCTTTGCAATGCCAGGTATTATAAAAAAAAAGTAATAAAAAAAATAGTAAGAACTTCCCAAGCAGTTTACTTACAGTACACGTCCACTCTTATGGACTTTATAGCTGGTGAGCCCAAGCCGTTCTCAGCCTTGCAGTAATAGCGTCCTCCTTGGTGTCGCTGGATATTGGATATCCTCAGAGTTTCATTGAAGACGCTTGAATCTTGAAATCTGTCAGAGGCACTTCCTGCTGTTTTGGTCCACCTGATCTGAGCAAGCACCAAAAAAGATTGTTACTTTAACTCTGTAAAAGTGAGCAGAACATATTTTTCTTCACAAAACTGAGAACCATGTATGCAGCAGCCAGGTTTTTATTGGAGGACTTTGAGAATTTTTCCAGAAAACTGAATGCTTAAAATGAAAAATGCCACCTACGTGTACCTGAAAGGTAATCTTGCACTAATCACCCTCTCAGAAACAGTTGACTGCTTTTGATGAAAACACCCCATTAAAAATGAATGACACTAGCAAAGATGTGGAGAAGAACTCAAGCCACCATCAGGAACGGCTGCAGAGAAATTCCCTATAATTGTCACTGAAATAGTATTTGTGAAAGATGAGGGCACAATGGAAAGCACCTTCAAAACAAATGAAGGATTATCTTCTAGCAACAATAAAATCCAATTTTAAAGAGTCAAATGATCAGTTGCTTGAAACTGCGATTACTACCATCTATTTCTTCAAATAGGTGGGGTTTGGTTTTTTTAATGTCGTTTACAGCAATTACAGATTCCTTTATCTGGTAATAATTTTTCCAAAACCAAAGAGCTTTTAAAGGGAATATTTTAATTCCAGAACCACAAAAATGCCAGTAACAGCTCAGTGCAACCAACAGATGCACAGAGGTGGATACTCATACTGCTAACACCCATGCTTGATGAGCCAAGTCCTTGCCTGCATGATTTGTTACTCTAAACTATCTCCATAAAACACAATAGACATCTAGAGACGTCCCCAGATACCTCCTTCTCTTTCAGTTCACACTAATTCAGTGACCATGACAAACACCAAAACTGATTTTTAAACGACAGGTTTTTTGTTCCTACAGAGGCCACAAGTAGGACACTTGCATTAAAAAGAGTTTATGTCTCCCTGAGCTTCTGAAAGCTGTCTCAATCCCCTGCACTAATTCTATGCCAGGGTAAAGACCTGCAGTCATTGATATAAATGAGATTGATGCAAGACAAAATAATAAATATTTAGCTATTTGTTCCCAGACAACAGTCCCCAGACACCGTCCAAAAGCAGTGCAGCTGTGATTTAAAGAAAACCATTTGGACACTGATCCATTGGAATCTGCTAGTCAGGCTGTCACAAGCAATCTTGAGCCAGTATTGGCTTGGTTTGGACAAGGCAGTGCAAGCCTGCCACCACTAGCAAGTTCCTGTCTCCATGACCAGTTTAGACTGAGCTGGACATGCTGTGCGTCCAGCCCTTTCTCATGTGAGGGAAAGTCCCATGGCTGAGCTGGGAGGCCTTTGGTGGGTATCAAGGTGGCCTTAGCTGGAGGAAGATTATTTCCCCAGGGTGCATATTCAAGTTCCACCATACCCAGTCCTCACCCAGAACTGGGGTCTGGATCCCAGTAACCTGCACAAAAGCACAAAGTGGGCAGGGGTCAGCTTTCCTCTCATTGGGATCTTCTCCTGGGCAGGAAGGATCTTCCATAAAAGTCTCTGAAGTGAATAATTCATGACCAGCTATAGCCCACATAAATTCTCCTCCCCTTGAAAGAAGTTCAGGCATGGGCTTTGGAGGCTGAATTTACAGCAAACAATACTTCAAAACCATTTTCATCTTTCTGTCTTGTTATATCCAGAAGCCCAAATGGCTTTGCCCTCTTGCCAGGTGACCTGCGTAACTCTCATCAGGTTTTGTTGCTCTGGGAAAAAGCAAATATGCCAAGCTCCACATCTACAATGTTCAGTCTGCATGTGAGAGAGATGCTATTAGAACTGCTATATTTACCAGTCTCAATCTGTCAGTAGTTCTATTCTAAACACTTGGCTCCAGGGCTTTTTAAATCATCCATATAAATGTGCTGCAGGATAATTTTGGAACACATGCTCAGCTTCTGCATGCTGCAGAATACAATTTAATCATATACTTTTCAAATGCTTGAGAAATATTTTTAAAAAGTATTTAAGATGTTCACTGAATCTCTTGCCTGTTTTATTTCCCTTTATGTAATCAGAATTGCAAAAAAAAGTGTTGTTTGATTTTGAATTGGAAAATAATTATAAGCATGACTTCTCTCTTCCTCCCATTCCCCTCTGACAAAACATTTCCCAGGGAAGGCAGTCTGTGTTGTCAAAAGGACATTTATATATTCTTCAATAATGTGTTATAAGTATTATCAGGATATATGTAACTGACAATGTTACATAACTTACACAAAAAATATAGCAAAGTTCATTTAGATGCTGTCAGTTTTATCTTTTTTTTTATAAATGCAAAAACACCCCCCCCTCCACTGCATCCTAATGCTGATGTATTATCTTTATTATTATGAATTTTAACAAGATTATGTTTGGCTGTCAAGAAAAGCAGACATTTCAGCTTTAACAAAAATATATACATGTATGTTTTAGAGGAAAGAGGAGTAATTTAACAAATTAACTTATTTTGTAGTGGATGTAGAGATCCCTGAAGAATAAAAGAAATACTGTCAACTAGATTCTCAAAATATATCCTCTAGGAATGTCACTGGTCTGATTTAACTTCAGTTCATTATTTACCTTAGCTTTAATTCAACATACACACAGAACTACGCTGATCAATACCACATTGTAATTTATCGAACGCACTGTGAAGAAAAATGACTCTCAAACACTATGCTAATGCAGGAATAAAAAAATTGGGCACAGGAAAAAACAGATATCTGAGGCTGAAAACCTCCTTGGAGAGGTCCCTAGTGGTTTCACTCACTCCAAGCTCCAGTCCACACTTTGGGGTGACCTTTAATAACTTTTAAGGGACTGAGACCTTCAAGTCCACCCTTACAGATGAAGCATCTCATGGTTCAGCTCTAGAGTTGAAACCTTCAGCACTGCTTACTGCAGTGACCTTCGGAGACACAGTCCTGATGTTATCCCATTTTAAAAGTGGGGGCCTGGCAGCAAAAAAAGACTAGGGGCTCATGAGACATTGTGGCAACTATGAGTCTCAAATCATAGAATCTACAGAATCCCAAAGTAGCATCCATGCTGCTTTACACCAAAGGATTTCAAAAGCTTCTGGATTACTAGATTTAAACAACAACAAAAAGCATTAGATGGTATATTCACATAGTTCAGATACTCAAGTGTTTTCAAATACCTTGGCACAAAACCTTGGCATAAAACAAGTTGCTCACCCAGGTGCATTTTATCAGTATTTGCTATTCATAATCTGCTCCCTTGTTTGAAAACTCCAGTGCCTACTGCAGAGCAGCACTGCATACTCTGTGTGTCTATTCAGATAGTGTTCCACCAGAAAGTCAAAGCTAGTTTTGCTTGTAATGTGTTTCAACTAAAAATTTACATCCACACATCACAGCATACACAAACTGGACTAATAAATATTAATCCATTACATAGTTATGCACGCACTGGCTTCTAAGAATGCAATTTTCCCAAGTATTCACTGTTACTCTGATGCACATTTGGAAATCCCACCCATGAATTGTCATTGCTCTGCCATATGATAATCTGTCCAGGTCCCTTCAGGTGGTATCCCTACCCTCCAGCGTGTCAACTGCACCACACAGCTTTGGCAGTGGCAAACTTGCTGAGGGTGCACTAAACCCCACTATCTCACCAATAAAGATGTTGAATAGTGCATGTACATGTACCAACACCAACCCCTGAGAAATTCCACTTGTCAATGATCTCCACTTGGACATCAAGACATTACTTATACACTGAGACACTGAACACGTAGAAGTAAAAAATTATTTATGAACAATTCAATTAAAAATATTAAAATTTAAAAAATTAGTAAGTTATGACCCCTGTAGAAATACCATGACCTACGTACTTGTCCCATTACTTGGCCCATAAATTCTCTTGCCATCAGTATCTCTGATAGTATTTACTGCCTTAAGGAGATGCCCCAAGACACACAGTCATATTTCACCCTACAGCTTCACTTTTCTTAATGAGCTTTCCTTCAATTCAGTAGGAGTCACAGACTTTACACTTTTAGACTAAACATGCACATTTAAAAAAACCCACTGAAATCTGCCTAATGCAGCAACCGTAAGTAAATTATGTTACTTAAAATACACCCAGTGCACAGGGGGTTGGCACTGCATCCCACTGCCACTAACTACATTCACTACACTCTGACATCATGAAGAAAACAAGGATGAGGAAAACATCCTGATCATAATCTCCTGTTATAGTGCCCAAATCCATGACTCACACTACATGCTTCCTTTGTAGGCAAACATGCATAAAAGAGGTATTTGAAGAACTTCATTTGGATGTGCTGGAACATTATCTCCATGCCTAAAAACATCAGAGCCCTGGAAAAAGCTTTCTTTCAATTTTTCCATTAGATTTTGTTCTCAGGAAAGCAATGGCTGGGGCATTGGCCACTGAAGACAGGAAGCACTCAACACCTTCATATATGTACGTAATGTACAAAAGACCCCTTTCAGGCCAGGAAAGAGAAAGAGACTTCTGCTCTTCTAGTTGAGGAAACTATCTGAAGATATTTTGAACATATGCATCTCCCCTGACCTCTTCCTTTGTTACACACTGTAGATCTCAGTGCCCTGTAAGGTACATCCAAGCTCATATGAAATGGGTTGGCCTAGGGTCCTGCCACAGCCCTATGGAGACTCCCATATACTACTCTATTAGACAACGATCCAAAAAAAAACCAAAACATAAATAAAAAGAATAGTCTTACAAAACACACTAAAAAAAAAAAAAAAAAAAAAAAAAGGAGAAAGAGTGGAAGAAACAAAAAGTCCAGGAGAGCACACTGGATCCAAGTTCGCATTGGCTGACACATGCAATAAGTGGCATATGTGTTGGCTCAAAATAGCCCTTTTTTCAATGAACTCCTGCTTCCCTTCCTGTAAGCAAGCTGCACAGCCAAATGACTGCAAGGCAGATGCAAATCATCACTGTAGAACTGGCAGACATGGATTTTGTACCAGACTTACATGAACAGAGGTTTGTCATGGTTTAACCCCAGCCAGACAGCTTGTTCACCCACT